CCCCCCAGCCACTCTGCAGTAGTGTGCCAGGGTGTTCAAATCTAGCACCTGTGCAGTGTTCACTACTAGTATCGAATACTCATATTTTGCATAAGTATTGAGGATGAAAAGTGCTATAGAGATTGGATTTTGCTAATGTCTAAAGCAGAATATCCCAGATTTGCAAGTGAGAGAATTTGTGAGAAGTATATAGTACCTTTATGTGAGTTTAGATAATGAAATAATTTGTCTGTAAATCATGGGGATAAGCCTTGTGTCCAAGATCATTATATGTAGAGATCATGAGAGTTTCAGAACCAAATTGTATATTAAAACCTGCTCTGACACCATGGGTGCTTCAGGCTGCATTTGTCCAGCAGCCACCATGTAGCTGGTACTGCAGTCATTTACCTTCCTCGGTTTTTACACTTGTAAAGCTGATGTTTAACCATGTTCAGATATAAAACTCAATCTAGGAGTATTTTAAACCTTCCCCCTTCTCCCAGCCCCCAAATCTGTCTGTTCTTAAAAAGAACATATAATTTATAGACTTCATAGAACAGGTTTATGAATGTTAAAAATGCCTTTGTAGATGTAGGGTAAAAAATCTTGATAGATTAAAGAGAAAATAAATGGTTACTTGATCAGCTTTCATTTTAGTCCTAAAGTGTTATTTCTGGGGTAGTAGTTTTTAGTGGTCTTTCCTTTTTTTTCTCTTTAATGATGTTGGCTCTCCTTTGTGGATTATATGTAGGTTGTAGTGTAACTGTCAGTCAGGTAAATGCTAGCTGGAGAGGCTGAGTGTCTGAAGAGGAGTGCTCACCTCCTTGAGAGCAGTCAAGGGGAGCGTGTTAGCAGAGGAGTTACTTATGTTCTCGTACTTTCTCTTGCGCATCTGCCTGGTGCTTTCCCTGGTTGGGCTTTGATGGGGCTTTGATTAAGTAAATTGATCTAAAAAGCTTTTGCATTTCATGTTTGTCTATGTGTACATATTTTTTAAAATACTCATCTAAGTAACTAGGCTTCTGGTTGTAATATTTCTAAAACCCTTTGAATTTAGATATTTGGGTAAGCTTTTAGACTAGGACTTTTCCTATATATTCAGAACTTGGTGTCCATAGTCTCTTTCTGACTCTTATGTTGGCCAGTTTTTGAAATGGGTAACGAATTTATGAGGAAAATCTTTTTCACCATGATGATAGTCAAGCAGTGTAACAGGTTGCCCAAAGAGATGGTGAAAACTCCATCACTGGACGTTTTCAATACCTGACTGGACAAAAGTCCTGAGCAACCTGACCTGATCTGATCTTGCAGCCAGCTCTGCTCTGAGCAGCAGTTTGGGCTAGAGGCTGCTGGGGATGCCTTCCAGACATAAATTATCTATAACACTGTACTTGTCGATCATCTTAATCAGTGATACTCTAGTATCTTTTATGCCATGTGGACAGATGTTTCAAGTGATAGTCCCTAACCATAAAGAAAATGTAGCAATTGATAGTGAAATTCAGATTATGGACTCAAAGTTTCAGGTTCTGTTGTAAACAATATAACCTTTTTTGTTTTTTTAGAAGTTGCACATGCCAGCTGGTTTCATAAAATATTCTTAAAAAAGGCAGAGGAGTTAATTTCTTTCAAAGGGACTGTCACTATGAGACAGCTTGATTTTTGTTTGAAAATTTCTTTTTTTTTTTAAGGAGGATCTCAGCTTGGAATGTAACTGGTGCTTTACTGAAACCAAAGGCTCCCTCTGGGGAGTGCTGTGCATGCCGGTGTCATTGAATGAGTAATTTCGTAGCAAAAGTTGTCCGGGTTTATTCCTGATGGTTTTTTTGTGGTGAAAGTTGAAAAATTCTTGGCAATAAAATTTAGAGCAAAAGCCTGAACTAAAACCCTAGTTACAGACAATATTCCCTCCTTAAAACAGACAAACAGAAGCACCTCACAGCACCAAGATCCTGACCCTCCCCTGAGCCATCTTCCAGAAACCAAGTTCCTCCCATACAATTATAAGTTGCTCAGAAACTCTAATTCTGTCCTATTTAGTCCTGATCTATAAGAAGCACAGTGACACTGCTGCTCTCTGCTGTCTTCCACACCAGAGGGGTGAGGACAAGAAGTTTTCTTTCCTTTATTCTGCATCACAGTCTCTGCTGTTCTATGAGTGGCAGATGCCGAGGACAGTTTCAACACATTGCCCACTTGGTACGTGGAAAACAGACCTTTTGAATTATGGAAATACACCGTTTTGTCTCTTTGTGGAAACACTTCTTTGCTAAGAGAAAAAGTGAAGAGATTGCTTTCTCACAAGTATGTGGATGTCAGTGGAAGGAAAGAAAATATCTTGAATTCATTTCAGTATTTAAGTTAGGTGTAATGTCTATGTTTTGATGCACTGGTTACATTGTTAGCATATGTAGTTTGAGAGCCACTCATTTGGTTAAGTTCCTCTTCATTCTAATGTCATGTCTGTGAAGCACTGAGTCAACAGATGTCTCTATGAATCTTGGCACCCACAAATTCTTGTTTTGTTCAAAACAGTTGCTTTGTTTTCATGCTTACAGTTTTTGTACCCTACGACACTCCTGTGTTTTATTTGCAGATTGTCATAAGCATAGGACTCATGTTTTATGTCGTCCACCGAGCTCAAGTGGAACTGAATGCAGCTATTGTAGCCTGTGAAATGGAAATGAAGACATCCCTGGTTAAGGACAGCCAGCCAAGCATCAGTGGCTCAGCCACATACTGCAACAAAAGGACGGTGGCGTTCTCTGGAGGGGGTGTCAATATTGTGTGATTTCGAGTATTACTAAAGCAAGGTTTTGTGGACCTAAGCTATTGCCTAGAAATACCTATAGACAATTCAACTAGTTTTAAAACAAATTACAAGTGGTTACAGGTTGTACTGTGGCACAGACTGACAGACCAGCTTTTCATTGCACATGGGGTGACTTCTAGCAAGCAAAGAAAGATGGTGAAGTAACCTCAGACGTAAATGCAAATTTGGCTGCACCTTTTGTCATTTATTACGCCTGTCATGGCCTGTAGGCTGCACTTTAGTTTTTTTCCTTTGCTTCTATAAACTGAGAAATGCTTCTATAAATGGAGAAAAGTAGCACAGAGGTAAATATTTTTCTGCTTAGCATTATTTATAAGGCTGAATAATTATATGCAGTAGAATTTTATTACTGATAAAGATGAATGAGAAAGTATGCAATTTAATGTGTGTTATTCTTGAATGTGCTTTTGCTTTGGAATTGCTTCCAGAACTTGGAGTGTGTTATTTAGCTAATGATGGGACCATTTTGTTTTTTATTCATTTTTGATTTAAAAAAAAAAAAGAGAACCCTATATAAAGTTTTGTTTGAATGTATTTTTGTAAGTCATTAAAAATGTCGCAGAGCCATGCCTATGTATTCACACAAGCTTAAATCCTACATTGTGGGACTGAAGTGCTCTTAAATAACATTTTAAGTTACACTGTGTAATATGCAAAGTAAAATGGAAAATACAGAAGTTATAAAAGAATGCAGTGACTGTTCAGAGGAGACTTCCTGACTTTGGGTTTTACCACCTCGGTGATTGTAACAAAGGGCTGTTCCACGTTAGTCCTATTTATAATACTTTTAATTGTTAGATGGATGGGGTCTTGCAACTTGCGTGACGACACGTAGTAAGGCTTCCAAAACGAGGAGCTAAATCTCTCCTTTAAACTAAATGATGGGATACTGGCAGTACCAATCTTACACGAAGGTGGCCTTTATTTTATAAGTGAATCCCCCCTCCCTTTAAAAAGCTTTAAAAATTCACGTTGGCATGTTTTTTTCTGAAAGTTTTAAAACTCTATTATAAATAGGTTTAAAAATCTATTAGCAATTTCATCAGAGTGAAGATAGGAAAGCTAGAGGATCTCCTTGGAAAAATAAACAATCCAGTAATGGAGAAGGGCAGTAATGTCTCTGAGACTCAGGAATTCTGACTCCATATTCCAAGACAACACTGTATTGGATAATGCTCCTTTTACGTGTGCTGTGGACTGCTTTCATTGCGTTTGAATAGACTGGATGACCTGATAGTGACTTAGGGGTGTGTGTAAAAGGAAGACAACAATGATGCCTGGACATAATGTCTTGTAAGTGTGAGTTCCATGTAAATACACATACCAGTGCTCAGTTGCTCAAACACACGCAGGTCATCCGAGGCAAAAATAATGTAACGTACTCCTCATTTTGTAGTTATTTTGTAAGATCTTGAGGATGCTTTCAGTCTTCAAAATTTTATTGTTTCCTAATAATGTGACTGTGCCTCCTTTTTGTAAGGCTGTTTGTTCAGGGTCATTGGGAAGCAGAGCTTTGATAGCCTCTAACAGTCTTACTCCAAGGATGCACAATGCTTGTGGAACTTGACATCTACACCTTCCTTGGTAGTGGAAGTTCAATTTTATTCTTTAAATATGTATCCTTTGCAGACTGCTGTTCTTGGGTTCTGTGACCTAAAGAGCTGAACTAGTTAAATGAAACAACAAAGTTCAGATTGTCTCCTTTTTTGTTGTTTTGGGGTTGTTTTTTGTTTTTTTGGTTTGGGTTGTCATTTTTTTTTTGTGGTTGGTTGATTTGTTTTGAAAAGGCAATCTGTATAAACCTGGAAGTGTTCATTTACACATCTCTGCCTCTGACAGCTCCTGTGTGAAAACAAGAGAGCCAGATAACTTTTTGATGGCGTTATTTGTCATCATAGTATAATTGATCCCTTTCTTAACTAATGGTTTGGGGTTTTTTTGTTTTGTTTATTTCTTGGAAAGAACAATGCTTCAATAAATGAACTGATCTGAACTTTGCTCCATCTTGCCAGATAAACAAATGTTTTGAAGAGGGTATCTCTTTCTTCACATTTTTAAACTAACTTAAGGCTGTATTGATTATTTGAGAACATTTCCCAAATATGTATTTTGAAGTGCTTTTTTTTCCATGACATTTTGTAACCAGAGTAACTTCACTATGTGAACACTTTTGTAGTATGGAAGTAGTTCTTAAGACTTTTGCATTTTGCTTGATACTTGTAATATTTGTGTACAAGTTAATGAGAAACGTGCATTAAAAGGAACTTTTCTGTACCATGCCAGTCATAATTTTATACAATAAATTCACTCAAATTTCTTTAAAGGAATATGTATTACATGTTTTGGTTGCTGTGAAGTAGTTGGAAACAAGGGGCAGTGGGGTGATGCCTTTATTCATGCATGGAAAGATAGTTGTCTATGTTAAAGGAGCAACAAGTTAGGATTTAAGGATGAAATCCACGAGTGGGGACTTATTAACAAAAGAGAGACACTTTATTTTATTTTATTTTTTTTTTAAATTAACGTTAAATGCATATTTAATTCTGTTAAATGCTTTGAAGGTTAGGAGTTTGTAGCTGTCTTTTTGAGAGAAGGGTAAGTGTATGTGTGCATATGAGAAACATGCTACTGAACCAAAAGAGGATTGATATTTTTGAATGTAAAAGTGGTTGTTGGTTTGTTTTTTTTTTTTTATAGTCTCCCTGCCTAGTGCAATCAAAAAATAAGAGGATGTGAATCCACTTTGACTTATTGGTGACAAGTCACCTTCATGAATATTTTATGAGTTGCCATAATGGTGAAACTTCTGCATTTTGTGTATAAAAAGAAGAAATGTCTCAGTTGTATGGCATCAGTTTTCCTGGCTCCTCTTTGTGATAAATGCAACTCTGTAACAAATTTGTCCAAATTCAACCTTAAACTAAACACCTGTGAGGAAAACCCTTTTTTGTGCACAGCTTTTTCATACTTATTTTTGCACAATAACTTCCTCAAATTGCCCAGGACATGTTTGAAGAACAGAAGAGCTGCCTTTGCATGATGTGTGGCCAGTGTCAGGTATCAGATCCTTTGTGTTCATTTTCAACTTTCCACCAGAGGCTGGGATGATTTGGATTTTGACTGAGCAAAGTTAGTGGAGTCATCAATGGCCTTGCAAATAATCTAGGGTATGGTGCTTAAGATGAAGTAATATAAATGTGTTACAGTTCACTCTGTGGTCATTCTTAAAAGCAAATAACTTGAGTAGCTCTGTGACAAGCTTCCCCACTATAATAAATTAAAAGCTGATACCAGTCCCATCTGCGTAAGAAGTTGATGGTTTGGGCATAAGGGAACAGAAAATTGAGTGCAGAGGGGAAGCTGATGGAAATTCTGCTTGTGCTAGTGGAAGCAGCTCATCCCTGTCCTTTCCAGTTCTGCAGAGTTGCAGTGATGTCCCTGGCAGCACAAGGATGATGAGTCTAATATATCCTCTCTTCGTGGACATTGGTGTTTGTCTTGCACCATCCTGTTGTATTGATTTTTAATTTGTATTGATTTTTTTTTTATTTTAATTTGCTCACAATAAGTAGCAAGAAATAACAGTCTGCAGTTTCAATCTTGTCCCTTTCCTCCTTCAACAGATTATTTTGGCACACTGCTGAACTTAAAACTACATTTTAGTGAAGTCTTGTGTTCATTAATGGAAGTTGAGTCCTGCTTGCCAGCCAAGTGACTAATGTGTAGTTGGTTGGATCTGGATTTTCAATTCGTTTGGAAAATTAGCTGGGCAAGATTTGCTTTCTCAAGTGTGCAAAGTCCTCTGAATTTCCTTCTAATTGTTTAGGACTTTAGATATTTTGCAAAAGAAATTAGCAAAGCAGGTTTATTGTTTAGGGTTTTTGTTTTGCTTTGAAAAAAAAAAATGTTATTAGCAAAACAGCAGAAGAAGGATTTGTTCTGTCGTGATCTTGAGACTTTATGAATACTGGGTGTCATCCTTTTTGGCAGATGAGAATGTTGCCAAGACATCGCACATGTAAGCTTAGGTGGGTGAAGGTAATCAGGTGCCTGCTTTGGTGAAGAGGATGTAAAGCCTGTATCTCTAGGTCAGGATGGCAAGTCTGTTTTTATCATACAACCCACAGACCCTCACAGTCTGGTGTTGATGACTGCAGTTCATTGCTTCCCACCTGTCCTCATCTGCAGGAGAGGGAATCCAGGGAGCTACAAGTCTTTCACACTGAAGGGGAATAACAATCTGAGCACACTGGACACAGTTTGAGAGGGTTAAATTAACCATAACATTGCCAGAACTGTGAATACATGCAAGTGCCTTGTTTTCTTAACTGCCAAATCCTTTGGCAGCTTCTGCTTCTTTCCATGGGGCAGCTGGGTGGCCACACCTAGAGGTAGGTCAGGTTTTTGTCTTTTGGAAAATTTTAGCATGCTTTGATGCTTGGACCTCTTTGATTCTAAAATAGCCTTGTGAACGAATTTAGCTGGTGTTTCTCTAACTAGACTGGTTGAGTTTGTCACAGTACCAGAGCAGGAGAAGCTGGGGTACAGCCATGTATGTACCTAGTGGTGTTCGTGCATGTGCACCTGGCTCAAAAGGGAATTTCTGTGGGGCAATGTGCATGAGCTCAGTCTGCTGAATGTGAAGTGTCCCTCTGCTCCCGGTGAGCTGTAGCTTTTCCTCAAAGACTGTGGGAGGGAGGAAGAAAGGAAAGGTCTGTGGAGATGAACTATTCTAATAGCGAATTTCTGCTTTCTGCCTTAGAAACTTGATTGCTCTAAGATCACAAATATTCACCATTCAATGTGAGAAATGGTAGGTGGTGAGGGAATAGACTAATGAATTCTTTGACTGTGATTTTTATGAGGGAGTAACAATTTGCTTCAGTACGAGATGAAACACCCAGATGGTAGAGGGGTGTTTTTATGTTGGATTTTTTGGGGTTGGGGGTGGTACTACT